ACTACTCATAAAGTTGCTGGAGGCCCCTCGACAGCCCACGACCGGTTTCGCTCCTCTTGGGGCTCATCAGATAGGCGCCGTCCTTGAGTTTCCGTAAACCTTATGTTCTACTTGAAACCGAATTGCACGAAATCAGCGAAATACGCTGACTTGCAAACTAATTTGGTTTTGCGAGAGACTCACCCGGAACTCAGCTGAATTGCTCAGTTTTGATGTGTCCGGGCAACTGAATGTGCTGAATGTTTCAGTCGCTACGATATTCGAGATATCTAACTTTGCTAACCTGCCAGTAGGAAACATCTAAGCTAAGCTTAGCTCCGACCCTTATCAAGCGAGTTATAAAGTACCTCAGGAATCCTAAATGCAGGCAGTACATACACATTTCGCGGTTGCATAACAGAGCCAGACAGCTGAGTGTGGTCGGTTTGTCTTTCACATTCTCTCTCACCTCATCATCAAGGCACTTTCATGAACCGAAATGGACCAATTGGCTAGAGCGCGAATTTACTGACCAGAAGGTCCGCGGTTCGAACCCGACCTCTGCCACTCCACTTCCCCTGTCTAGGCTTGGACAACCTGGCAGTATCCCAGCCCTCGTGCCTCCTTCATGTAGCATGGCAGCTAGGCGCCGAAAGGATCCTACAGCTGAACGGTTTTCCATGAACCTATGAGAGATAGATTAGCTCAATGATCATTATTTGCCTCCGTATAAATAAAGTTGTAAACAAGAACGATAACAAAACTTCGTCATCAGAAGAAAAGGTTCACGGTTCAGGGACGTAGTTGAAGACAAGATTCAACTCATCCTTGACAGGTTCGAAAGAAAGCACGCAATGTGATCTGGGAAAGTGTTCGTCACACCGAATCGCGCCAGATCTGGTGCGTTTTGGAGACGGAGGAATGGGTGCATGATTGAGTTCGAATGAACTCCGCTTGCTGCGACACACAGTCACTTTCGAATCAACCGGTATCTCACTGGACGGTGCCAACGTCAGAACGGGTGAGCTTTGAAGAGGCTTGACCGCTGACTTTACGATAAGCTGATTCAACCCGTCCCCAGATACTTCTTTTCCTGGTAATCGAAGTTGTGGTGAAGTGGGGAACAATTTTACGGTCGACGTGGTCACACCATCGTTAAATATTTCTGCTTCCACAGTTCGAGGTTGTGGAGAGGCGAGAGGTGTTGTAACTGGATCGGATTTTTGTCTTTCCCATAGTTCATACAAATCGGAACTGTGTGTGGGTGCAAAAGCAATGGGAAATGAAAAATGGTCAATCATGAGATGAGTAAACTTGATTGGGTAATTTTTGTGAGATCACACAGTGCACTGATCAACTTTTAGTCACACGCCCGACTTCGAATGACATCGATTTGTGGTAAATGAAAACGGAAACTCACTCAACTCAAAGGTATCGACACTTACCTCAGAACAGAATTGACAGACAAAGGGAAATTTTCAATGGGTGTGCACCACATCTCCCCGATGTTTACTCCGACTAGCATCAACGTGGAAACTAGGATCACAATATCGTACCAGCAACCACAGGTGTAATAACAAATCGTATCCCTTCTAACTCGAATATGAAGGAATCCAGAGGGATAATCCGCACCATACCATGTGGGTGTGTGACACACTACTCGTAAGATTGCTGAAAACAGCCTATGATCGGTTTCGCCCCTCTTGATACTCATCAGTGGAACATCCGAAGGGAGAATTCCAGTTGAATTCGGGTGAGTCTCCTGTTAAAACCAAACTCGTGTATAAACGAGAGTATCTGTTGCAATGTACCTTGAACTACAGTATCATGGCAGCGTTTTCGCAGAGGTCGTACCTGATTTGTGCATTCCACTCCTCGGCTGTGTGAAAGATTCGAGTGGACTCAGGCACTTGGCTCTCCACCATGTAAACGTGAGTCAGAAGTGACCATCCAACCGCACACCGACAAATGATGGCGGGAAAACTGCCAAGCTTGCCGAACGGACCAACCGCCACCTGACTAACACACCCGAGCTTCCAATGATCCAAAACGTTGCAAATTTGCCATGCTGCGCGTCAGTGGTACGGCTCGATTTGAAAACGGAATCTGTACTACGGGACTGATAACCTTCGGTGGTGCTATCATCTCCCAAAAAGACAACAAAAAGGTTCCACCTGAAGAGCCTGGAATAAGTCTCGTCAACAATGTAGTCAAATATGCTCATCCTTTGTGCTGCAAGGGGTGGACGGACCTGACCTGGAAAAAGCTGTGTGAATCACAGGGCGCTCTCTAGCTAAATTGAATTTCAACAAAATCTACCATGGAGTGTGTCATCGACTTTGCCAACATGCGCCCCATTCTGTTCATGACCAGTTATCGTATCCACAAAGCGAGATGAAAGCTAGGCTAGCCAGCTCAAAACCACGAAGAACAAGCTTTCGGGATTCTCTGTAGACGGGTGATAACGCGACCGAATAGGTGGTTGCTGCATTCAACTGTCTGGGCCGAACTGTGTTACTCAACAGACAGAGGCTGGATTAGCAGCTTCGGGAGCACTCTCAGGTGAACGAGATTGTAAAGAACGCACAAAAGCCATGTCAGCAAAGCGGTCGTCCAGTCAGTCCAACAACAGGTTCATGGAAGAGACTGGATCCTACCATGGTGTGACGCTTTGTGTACATCTGCGACCCACTGCGCTATATAGGGGGGGGGGGGAGTCATGAAATATTTGGAAT